ATGAAAATCCTAAGAAAGAACCAAAAAGAAATGCTAAACATCAAAAGCATTGTAACGGAAATAAAGAATGTTTTGATGGCCTTATTAGTAGACTGCAGACAGCTGTGGAATCACTGAGCTTCAGACTATGTCAATAGAAACCACCAAAAGGGAAAAACAAAGAGAACAGAGACTGAATAAAAAACCAGACAACAGTATCTAAGAACTGAAGGACAACTATAAAGGGTATAATATACACATAATGGGAATACCAGAAAAAGAAGAAAAAGACAAAGGAACAGAAAAAACATTTAACACAATAATGACTGAGAATTTCCCCCAAATTGATTTCGGACACAAAACCACATATCCAAAGAGTTCAGAGAACATGAAGCAGAATAAATGTCAAAAAACAACACCTAGGCATATCATTTTCAAACTATGGAAAATCAAAGATTAAAAAAAATCCTGACAAAAGCCAGAGGTGAAAAACATCTTACATATAGAGAAACAAAGATAAGAATTACATATGAATTCTATTCAGAAACCAGGGAAGCAAAAAGAAAGTGTAGTGAAATACTGCTGAGAGAAAAAACCCCACCAACCTAGAATTCTGTAGTCTACAAAATCATCCTTTAAAAATGAAGAAGAAAGAAAGATTTTTCTCAAACTAACAAAAAATGGAAATATTTTGTTACCAAGAAGTCTGTTTTGCAAGGAATGTTAAAAGTTCTTTAGAAAGAAGGAAAGTTATTAATATAGGTCAGAAACTGATATTTACATAAAGAAAAAAGAGCACTGAAGAAAGAATAGGTGAAGGTAAAACAAAAACTTGGTTTTTTATTTCAAAATATTACGGGGGTACAAATGTTTATGGTTACATGGGTCATTTTTGTAATGCCTGAATCAGGACTATAAGTATGTCCATCACCCAAAAGTATTCATTGTACCCATTAGGTAGATTTTTGCCCATCCCCACCTCTCACCTACCCTCTACTTGATTTCTACTGAGTTTTACCTCTCTGTGAACATGTGCGCCCATTGGTTAGTTCCAATTTAATAGCAAGTACATGTGGTGATTGTTTTTCCATTCTTGAGATACTTCATTTAGGATAATGATCTCCAATTCCATCCAAATTGTTGCAAAAGGCATTAATTCATCCTTTTTATAGCTGAGTAGTATTCCATGATATACATATACCACAATTTGTTAATCCACTCATGAATTGATGAGCACTTGAGTTGATTCCACATCTTGGCAATTGTGAATTGTGTTGCAATAAACATTCACGTACAGGTGTCTTTTTGATGAAATGACCTCTTTTCTTTTGAGTAAATGCCCAGTAGTGGAATTGTTGGATCAAAGAGTGAGTGTACTTTTAGTTCTTTGAGGAATCTCTGTACTATTTTCCATAGAGGTTGTACTAATTTGCAGTCCCATCAACAGTGTATAAGTGTTTGTTTCTCTCTGCATCCATGCCACCATCTATTTTTGTTTTGTTTTTGGACTTTTCTATTTTTATTGTTTTTAAGAGCCATTCTAACTGGTATAAGGTGATATCTCACTGTGGTTTTAATTTGCATTTCCCTGGTGATTAGTTTTGTTGAGCACTTTTTCATATGTTTATTGGCCATTTGTCTATTTTCCTTTGAAAAGCTTCTGTTCATGTATTTTGCTTATTTTTTAATGGCATTGTTTATCTCTTGCTGATTTGCTTGAGTTCTTTGTAGATTCAGGTTATTAGCCCTTTACTGGATGTATACTTTGTGAATATTTTCTCCCATTCTGTACCATGTCTATTTTTTCTGTCAATTATTTCCTTATCCGTGCAGAAGCCTTTTAATTTAATCAAGTATAATTTATTTATTTTTACTGTTGCTATGATTGCCATTGTGATTTTTTTCATAAATTCTTTGCATAGGCCTGGCTCTAGAAGAGTTTTTCCAACATTTTTTTTTCTAGAATTTTTATGGTTTCATGCCTTACTTTTAAGTCTTTTATCCATCTTAAAATTTTTGTGAGTGGTGAGAAGTGGGATCCTGTTTCATTCTTCTGCATGTGGCTGTCCAATTTTCTCAGCACTATGTAATAAATAGGGCTTCTCTTACCCAGTGTATATTGTTCTCAGTTTTGTCAAAGATCAGTGAGCTATACATGGTTGGTTTTACATCAGGGTTCTCTGTTCTGTTAGATTGGTCTATGTCTCTATTTTTGTGTAAATACTATGCTGTTTTGGTTGTGATAGCCTTGTAGTATAGTTTGAAGTCTAGTAATGTGATGTCTCCAGATTTGTTCTTTTTGCTTAAGATTGCTTTGGATATTTGGGCTCTTTGCTGGTTCCAAATGAAGTATAGCATTGTTTTTTCTAGATCTGTGAAAAATGACATTAGTATTTTGATGGGGATTTCATTGAATCTATAAATCACTTTGGATAGTATGGACTTTTTAACAATACTGATTCTACTGATCCATTAGCATGATATGCTTTTCCATTTGTTTGTATCATCTGTGATTTATTTCCTCAGTGTTTCTTAGTACCTTTTGTAGAGATCTTTCACCTCCTTGGTAAAGTATATTCCTATGTATTTTATTTTCTGTGTGGCTATTGTAAATGGCATTGAGTCTTTGATTTGACTCTCAGCTTGGCTATTATTGGTGTATAGGAATGCTACTGATTTGTGTATATTGATTTTATAACCTGAAACTTTGCTGAATTTATTTATCAATTCCAGGAATCTTTTGGTGGAGTCTTTGAGGTTTTCTAGCTATAAGATTATATCATCAGAAAAAAGCAATAATTTAAAGAAAGAAGCCATCTCCATAACATAAAAGTGCAAGGTGAAACAGCAAGTGCTTATGCAGAAGTTGCAGCAAGTTATCCAGAGGATCTAGCTAAGATAATTTATGAAGGTTGCTAGACTAAATAACAGATTTTCAATGTAAAAGAAACTGCCTTATAGTGGAAGAAGATGCTATTTAGGACTTCCATAGCTAGAGAGAAGTCAATAAGCATATGAAAAAAGATGAATTCTTTCATCAGAGTTTTGTAGTTTGCCCTATATATATCTTTTTATATATTTTGTTAGATCTATACCTAAATATTTCATTTTATGGGGTGCTATAGTAAATGATATTGTGTTTTTAAATTTCAAATTTCACTTGTCCATTGTTGGTATATAGGAAAGCAATTAATTTTTTGACATTAACTTTGTATCCTGCAATCTTGCTATAACTGTTTATTAGTTCCAGGAGTTTTTCTTTTTCTGTCAATTCTTTCAGATTTTCTATGATGCCATTCATGTCATCTGCAAACAAGCACAGTATTATTTCTTTCTTCCCAATCTATATACCCTTTATTTCCTTTTCTTGTCTTATTGCATTAGCTGGACTTATAGTATGATGTTGAAAAGATGGTCCACATCAGATTTCATCAGGGAAATGCATACTAAAACAATTAGACACCACCATACAACTATCAGGATGGCCAAAATCTAGTACAATGAGAACAGTAAATGCTGGGGAGCATGTGAAGCACAGGAACTCTTGTTTATTGCTGGTGGGAATGCAAAATTGAACAGTCACTTTGAAAGAGAGTTTGGTGTTCTTTTACAAAACTAAACATAATCTTACACAATCTAGCAGTCAACTCCTTGATATTTGCCCAAAGGTGTTAAAAATTTATATCTACCTAAAAACCTACAGATGGTTATAGTAGCTTTATTCATAATTGCCCAAACTTGGAGGCAACTATGATGTCTTTTAGTAGGTGAAATAAACTGTAATACATCCAGACAATGGAATATTATTCAATTCCAAAAATAAATGAGTTATCAAGCCACAAAAAGACATGAATGAAATGTAAATTAATATTACTAAGTGAAAGAAGCCAATATAAAAAGTTATACATTATATTATTCTAACTACATAACTTTATAGAAAAGTCAAAGCTATGGAAACAATAAAAATATCAGTGGTTTTCATGTGTTAGGGGAGAGGGAGGGATGAATAGGTGGAGCATAGAAAAATTGTAGGGAAGTGAAAACACTCTGCATGATACTATAATAGTAGATATATATCATTATACTTTTGTCCAAACCCATAGAATGTACTACACCAATGTAAACTACAGACTCTAGTGACAATGATGCGTCATTCATTATAGGTTGATCAGCTAGAACAAATGTACCACTCTGTTGAGGGATGTCCATAAGTGGGAAGACTATATGCATGTGTGGAGTAGAGAGTTTATGGGATATCTCTGCACATTTCTTTCAATTTTGTTGTGAACCTAAAACTACTCTGAAAAATCGTCAGATTTTTCAGAACAACTCCCATTTATTGAATTCTTCCTTTGAGTACATGAAGCCATCATTTAATTCTCATTCAACATTTAATTCTCACAACCACCCTATCAGAAAAATACTACTATCTCAATTTTATAGAAGAGAAAATAGAAGATTAAAGAGGTTATACACTTTCTCTGAAGTACACAGCTAGCAACCCATAAAGACAGGGTTCTAACTCATGACTCAGGGTTGACAGGGTTTTTTTGGTAAAGGACCAGATAGTAGACATTTTTGGCTTTGTGGGTTAAATGATCTCTGTCACAACTGTACAACCACTCAATTCTACTGTTCTAGCAAGAAAGTGGCCAGAGACAATATGTAAATTAATGAGCAGGGCTGTGTTTCATAAACCTTTATTTACAAAAATAAGCAGTGGGCCAGATTTGGCCTGCAACCCATAGGTTTCTGACCCCTATTCTTACTCAAGATCTATCTAAGCTTCTTGACTCAGATTTTATGGAAAAATGTGTATCTATACATCCTCATGCAACATCTATCACAGAACCATGTATCCATAGGCACTCAGTAAATATTTTTTGATTGAATAACCAATAAATAAATTAATTCAACTAATACTTATGAGCATCCACTATTTCCTAGACACTACTATAAGCACTTGATATGTATCACAGAACAAAACAAATCGAAATCCTTGCCTATGAGGGGCTTATAATCTGCAAATCTCCAAATCAGACAGTAAGACTTATACCTTTATATTGCTGCCATAAAAAATTACCACAAACATAGTGGCTTAAAACAAACAAATTTATTATCTTACCGTTCTGCAGGCCAGAAGTCCAACATGAATCTCACCGGCTAAAATGAAGGCATTTGCGAGCTGTGTTCCTTTTTGGAGGATCTAGTGGAAGATTCATTTTGTTACTCATTATGGTTCTTGGCAGAACTCAGTCCCTAAACATAGCTCCCTGCATCTCAGAACCAGCAATGGGGTATTGAATCATTCTCTTGCTTCCCTCCTTCTTTCTGACTACAGCCAGGAACGGATCTCCAATTTTAAAAACTCATTGATTAGATTGGGACCCCCTAGATAATCCAGTATAATTTCCTTATCTCAAGTGTCCTAACCTTAGTCACATCTGCAAAGTCCCCTTTGCCATGTACAATAGCATATTCACAAGTTCCAGAGATTATGACATGGGAATCTTTTGGTGGATATTAGTCATAGAATTTTATATTAAATATGATTAATTTGATCTTTTCCAATGGACTATACTTCTAGTGATTCAATGTATGATATGAATATTTATATTTAACATGTGTGATAATCCATTTGTATCAGATAGAACAAATTACACTTTTCCCAGCCTTGATCAAACCTACACACTCAGACTTGCTGATTCTTGAGCCAGTCCTTAACACATTAACTACCATGTGAGTTGTATTTAACTCACACTAGTTTTGAGCCCAGAACCTCACGAAGCATATGTAACTCACACATCTCTTTACCTTGGGAGCCACATGAACTATTTTTTAAGTTACATGTAACTCACACACAGAAAACAATAAAAAATAACACATTTTTCATTAAATTAGAAAGGATCATTTTGTTTTTGAAGTTTTTATTCCATTTTCATAATAAAATACCATGGCACCACGGAAAAATATTTTTTCTAGTGTGGCAGTCAATGTGTTAAATAATGTCAGCAGTGTTTCAAAAACTTTTACCTAAAATTAAAAACATTAAAAACAAGTCATTCTATCATAAGCCTGACATATCTGGGAGAAATTCTCCATTTCAAACACTAGGTCCTGCCTGAAAAATAGTATTCCTACATGTCGTTGGGCTGAAGCATTGTCCTTGACCTTGTTCTATTAGCCCAGGCCACTTAACTGGGTCTCTGCCTTGGTTTTATGATTTGCATCTCAGTTCACTTACATTGACTAGAGTGTTAGTTGCAAAGATGCCACCTTCTCTAGCCCTTAACAATCCTTCCTACTGTGCTTATATTTCAGGCAGTGGTCAGGTCTTCCTCCAACCAGGTTGGACAACATCAACCATAACCCAGGGCTTTCAGTTCTAGGAGAGCCACTCTCTGATATGCACAACCTTTTATTGATGATAGACACTACCTAAACTGTCTCAAGTTCCTCTAAGTCACAACATTGAGGCTTGGTCTGCTTATCATTCTATTAATGGCTTCTCACCCCTTGGCCCATCCTTAAAGCTAGCCTAGTCTGCAAAATCCAACCCTATGTGTATTCTTTCTCTTCCTTAATGGCTCCATCATCCACTCATGCTCAAACTAAAAACCTAGACATAATTTTCAATTGCACTCAGTCTTTGTCTCCTACTTTCAATGACTATATTGTGCTGGTCACCCTGAAACAAAGAATACAGAAAGAGGACTAGGCTTGGTAGGTGAGATAACAGTTTCCGTTTTAGAGAAAAAGCCCATTTTGCACACTCAGAGTTTCAGAAACCCTTGCCAATGAAGCACCCCCAGACCAGGGGAGAAAGTTCTTTATAGTCTCTAGAATGAAGAGAGACATCCATGGAGGTTTGAAAATTCTGGTTCGAGTAGAAAGAATATTAATCTTGGAGTTTTAAAGACCTGGTTTCTTTTCCAGGCTCTGCCGCCTACTTTGACAATTTTTTCAACTAGGAAATGCAAATAACACCTACCTCATAGGGTTGTTGTGAAAATTAAATGAGATAATGAGTATGAAAGCACTTTGTAAACTGTACATGTCAGCTGTTATCATTATGATTATCCCTTTAATGCCCCCTCATCTCTTCTGCAGCAAATATTATAACTATTCAGGGTGCAGGATGAATATTAAAATGTTAATCATTCAGATTCATTCAGGAGACCATTTACTTTTGTTTTATCATATTAGCAGAGGTTATTTTATTCTAATCCTGTCTATAAAGTTACATTTTGGACAGAGTTCAGTCTAATCAAACCTGCCAATATTAGGCTTGGCTGTACTTAAAGATTCATTCAACCACTTTCTCTGAAAGCACAAGCCAACATTTGTGCATATTTGTATCATAAATCAGACACTAACAAGATGCCAAAAGCAGTCAACTCTTTTATGAATCAGTCTCTGATTCCCAAGACTGAATTAGCCATCATGTATTACCAACAGTATCATAGCATTTATAATATGGCATTGTAATGGTCTCTTTGACCTTCTCCCACAAGAGATTATGAGCATCTCTAGGGTGGAGATTTAGCATTTGTATCCTCATTCATGGTATACAGCAGATAACCAATAAGTGTTTACTAAAACAAAGGAGAGATTATAAGGAGGACCAGGCTATACAGGAAATTACCCCTTACAGAGCTACATTGCCCTAGCATATTTTACATATGCAGGGATATCAAATAAAGGAGAAACAAAGAAAAAAATATTCATTCCAAAAATCTCCAGTTAAATTTTCTATGGAATCTTTAAAAGGTGTTATCAGTTATTTATAAATACAATGTAAATTAGATTAATTATTCTAAACACTTTACATTAGAGATATGTGAAAGGAGAAGCAATTTATTTAAACCTTTCAGCTCTTAAATGAGATGTACTATGCCTCCTGGAGAAGGGGAGAGCTTACGCTTTATTTAGAGAAGAAATCTAGCATTATATATAGAATATAGATGTGTTAGGCCAGGTGCAGTGGCTCATGTCTGTAATCCTAGCACTCTGGGAGGCCGAGGCTGGAGGAACACTTGAGGTCAGGAGTTCGAGACCAGCCTAAGCAAGAGTGAGACCTCATCTCTACTAAAAACTAGGAAAAACAATTAGCCGAGCAACTTTACATGGGTGTGGTGGCACACACCAGCTACTTGGGAGGCTGGAGGATCGCTTGAGCCCAGGGGTTTGAGGTTGCTGTGAGCTAGGCTAACACCATGACACTCTAGCCTGGACAACAAAGTGAGACTCTGTCTCAAAAAAAAAAAAATGAGATGTGTTGATGTGAGGGAAGATCAGAGAGGGAGGAAATTTTCTCATTTATAAAGTTGTTCCTATAAGAATTTTAATTATACATTTTCAAATAATAACATCACCTATCAAGATACTATATCTTCCCTGATATTTAAGTTAAAAATTAGCCCATGTAACCACTGGATTAAATGAAAAACAATTTTGTGCCATGGGGATGCATTTTTGAAGGCACTGCTACCATTGGAAAATGTGATCCTCCTGAGTTAGGTGAGAGGTCAGGGTTTCAATAAAAACCAGACTGTGCTTTGGTCATCTCAAATGTTGACATGCACCCCTGAGGGTCTTGTTGAAATACAGATTCTGATTCACTGGGCCTGGGAAGGGTCTTGATAGTCTGCATTTCTAATAATTTTTCAGATGTTGCCCAAGCTGATGATCTGCAAAGCACACATTGAATAACAAGGTTCTAGTAGACATTGTGATAAGAAAATTCACCATCAGTGAAAATTTTTAAGGTAAACTGCCATTGATTTTCCCCTATGCCAGTGGTTATGGAGATTTTTCATAACCTTTTTTTTTACTTAAGAGAATAGCTGGTTTAATAAACAGCCTTAAAATAGTGAAACTTTTAGTTAGTCCAAATTTAATCACTGTGAAAATTGTAGCTGATGTAATGATTAAGAAATGATGTCCTTAGCAGATGAGGTAAATTATCTTTAAGCTACATTTTTTCTTTAAAAATTCCTTTATCTATGACTCAATTCACTTGTGGCTTCTGAGATATGTTATTGAAGGCATAGTACGTGAGCAATATAGACCAAAGAGTTTAATAGTCTCCCTTGCTACTCAGTCTCCCCTGCAAAATCAAAGCTGAAATGCCCATCATACATGGGAATAAAAGGGATTCTCATCTCATGTGAGCATTTTCCAGTAATGAGATAGCACTTGGGATAATTTTTACTGACCAGGAGAGCCAATCGAGACAGTCCTTAATCAGGAATAACAAATTGAAGCACCTTAAAAGTAAAAGAAGTTGTGCTTTCCAATGCTTGCCATATTAGATTTTAGCTGTGCCCTAAAGTTATAAAACTGCTTCCTCCTCAATCCATTCTCCATGCTACCAACATTACTTATTTTAGCTGAGGATTCAAGAGTATGATTTTTAAACTACATGATATAAGAACTACAGTCTTAAGACAGCATAAATTCTTCCATGGCAGTATTTAAAATCTAGAGGCCCTTACACTTAATTTGAAAGATTCTTTTCTCTGATTTCTCTACTCTTTCTAATCCTCTTTGTTCTCAATTTCCTCCTTGCCTTAATCAGTTGATATATTGTATGAAGTTATGGATAAAGTAAATTCTTATGGGGAAAATTATATTTTCAATGCATTTACAATAGCTTACTATTTAATTTTGCAGTGAATTCTATGTAAAGAAATAAATCCTTCTTTGTTCATAATCATCCCCCAAATACCTGCTAACATGTTTTTCAAGTTCTAGCTCATTATTTTAAAGCAGAATATATCTATATTTTCAATTTATATATAACTGTAAATATTTCTGTTTTGTCTAATTCAACAAAGGGAAACTGATATCGATGGGATGGAGAAGTACCTGGGAATAGCGAGAACAGGAGGTGGCTACCATAGCAAAGCTAAAAGTACAAGGGGAGAGATCCATTACCTAGAACCCAGGAAGATTTGTGATTCTGGGAAAGGGACACCCTGTGCCCTTTTAATACAGGAATACAGCCACTTCCCTCCCACTGGCCAAACTCAATCCTAATTGATGATGTCCATAGAATCAGACTCCTAAAGCACAGAGCAGGGTATAGAAGTACGGATATGGAACTTGTGGGGCCAAAAAAAGAGCACCAGGCACAGTAGCAGGTATAGGCAGCATACAGGAAATAGGCAAATTGAGGTAACATTCACTTACTGAATACTGAGATCACCAATCCTCTCCCCACAGTCAGCTCCAGAATATCAGTAGCCAGGTTTTGACACTCCAAGCAGGAGATTGGATGGTTCACCTCTGGAGGATGAAAAAGAAATGAAAAACTGGATTAAATTTTGTAAGATAACATTTTTTAAAAATTCCCTAAATGCCAAGCAAAAAGACAAAGAAATGAAAAATGAGAGGAAAAGGTAAGAAAAGTAGAGGATTTTGCCAAGAGTTCCATCAATCAACATGAATAACTGTATTATAATGGAGTACCAGAAAGTGAAGAGAGAAAATGGAGAAGAAATTATGAAAAACTAAAATTCAGCAAAACTTTTCAGATGGATTTCTAGATTGAAAGAACTTGCCAACTGTACAGCACAACAGATTAAATCAGGCTCTCGCCAAAGGAACATTACCATGAAATTTAAGAACACTGGGACAAAGTGAAGATACAGTGAGCTTCCAGAGAAGGGAGAAAACCAAGTCATATACAAAGAATCAGAGGTGAGACTATTTCCAACTTTTCAACAGCAATACAAGAAGCTACAAGGCAATGGAGCAACACCACTGAACTTTTGAAGAAACATGATATCCAACCTATAATTCTATACTCAGCGAAACTATCAATTAAATAAAGGCTGTTTTTAAGAACTCAAAATTTTTTCTTTGCATCTCTTTCTCATTTAGCTACATTATGGTATGTGTCATACCATAACAGAGGGTGTAAACCAGAATAGAAGAGGAAATAGAATGCAAGAAACATGGAACTCAGAGACATAGGTATGAAAATTTTAAATTAAATTAAATATAAAAATGAATCTCAAATTTTTTAATAATATAAGGAGAGTGTTCTGGTCATTTCTGAGTTGTGATAGCTCACAGATTACACCATGTAATCTTTCTTTTTTTCATGATTATTTTTTAATATGTTTACAAGTAAAGGAAAATGCTTGCTATTCTAATTGTTTCGTAAAACATGATTGACTCAAATGTTAGCATTAAAGTTAATGATTCCTATTTTACTTACTTAAACATGAAGAAAGAACCTAGATGCATCTTTGAGAATTTCTATAATTTCTAACATACTGATTAATCCTTATACCATGTTTAGGTTGAAATTTCTCTTAAAAATTGGCATTGCCCCTAATGAAATATATTGAAAGTTTGAAATAATGGAAACTCCTTGCTATATAATGATAGATGAAAATTATAAATCTTATTTTCTAAGAATGACTTTCTTTGTCAAGGCTTTGATGAACAGTTTCTAATAATGACATTTTCCCAGGACAATTTGAAATTATACTTTAGAACTCTTAATTAACTTCTGTTGCTTCAACATGCCAACACTACAGCATATCAACAATGTGACTTTTCTTCTCCACTTTATACAATGCCTCTTAAAATCTATGATAAGAAAAATTTCTCTTACTCATTTCATCATTCTCCTAAGTATTAATAGGAAAAAAGAAGGGGATATGGCTTTATATTGTGTTTAGGGAGTGTATGTAAACTAAGAAGTATGCTAAGAAAATATAAAGATTTACCTAAAATGTGTTTGCATAATAATTTTAAAAGAATCTATATCCATGACTACTTAGGTTATGCAAAAATTAATAGGAGAACCAAAGAGAAAAAACACCATTATCAATTCCAAATTAAAAGATAAAAAAATAATGTCAGGCTCTTTGATTCATGTTATATGTATTAGTTTATATAATCCTAAAAGCAAGCCTATAACATAAACTCTATTATTATAAAAAACTATTTTACACATAATGAAACTGAGACATGGCAAAGTAAAGAAATTTACCCTGATATAAAATTGTAGCTCTAGAAACTAAGTCCAAACATTTTTTGAGCAGAATTATTTTAGTCCCTATTCTAAAACATTTCATATTTAACTTTTAGCTAATGATGGTATTCCAACAGATTCTATTTATGTACTGGAAATAAAAGAACAGTTGATCTTTCCCCTCATTCATTTTCAACTTCAATGCTATTATGCATTTTCTTCAATATTTGTGATCCAGTCCCAACTAGATTTCTTTAAAAAGGAAAATAAAAAAAGCCACTAAATCTGAAAAATGCTACCAATCATGAAATCTTACCAAAATAGTAATTTCTGGTTTCCTCTAAATATCCTTCCTTTGTTTGACCCATCATTTGGAATTCTGGATGTTTTGACTTATTTAGGACATAAAGTCTATCACCTGTCCATCTCACCCATACAATACTCACACCACTCTTCTTACCAAGCTTTATTCTTCTCCATAGTAATTATCATCATCTGACATTATATTATGTACTATAGACATTTGCTTATCTTTTGTTTCAAATATAAATTCCTTGAGGACAGGGACTTTGTCTTGTTTTGCATTATAACCCTTGTAGCTAGAACTGTGTCTAGCACATAGTATGCACTCAATTAATGCTAGTTGAATGAATAACTAGATGAATTAATACATTTTTTTCACTTGTAAAGAGCTATTATTATAGATACTGAGGAGATAGAGACTCTAAACATCATAGCATGATATTACATATACAGCATTATATATGACATATAGTTAAATTCCTAATGATCTATAATTTGATGTCTAGTCAAAAGTCCTTATGGTTCAAAAAAGTCCAAGTGGATTTTAAAAGTATTATTACTTTGAGTATATTTGTAATTTTGTCTCACTCTGATATAATCATGTCCCTAAGAAATATATTTCTACTCAAACTTGCTCTATAGCAGAAGTTGTTCTTTATAAAACTCATTAACAAGATTATCGAAATGAGAGAATGATTGTTCAATGAGCATTTTTGTTTCTAATTCATTTTAGTTCTTTTAAAAACAAGAAGTAGCATGCAGATTGAGAACTCTTCAAAAGACTTTGTTCCTTCCTATATATAATTTACAACCTTTTCATTATAGTCCCAACATTTTTATCACTTATGTGCTATGCTCCAAGCATTTTGGTGAGAAGTACTTCATGAATAAAATGCATCAGTGCATGTAAAATTTGTAAGAAGGCTACCTCAGGCATACTTCAAATAGAGCACATTTTTGACACTTCACACTTACAATAATTCATACTCCAAAGGCCTTTTCTCATCTTGTATATTAGCAAGTTGGAAAACCTCCATAGACAGGATGGGTAAATGACCCCAGCCTGTGTACCATGTTGCTAAAAAGAGTGGGCTAGAGCTGCTCCCTCCCTCTACATGACAATTTCAAAAGTCCAAATCAACTAATGGCTCCTCGAATAAAAACTTTTTACCCTTTAGTAATGTTCTGACACTGTCTAAGAGTTTTTACGGTCTACAAATGCGAACATATATCCCACAGTTATGTTATACTAGTATCCAAGAAAGGAGAATTACCTAAGTTATGCCTAGTTTATTTTATTTTATTTTATTTTCATTTATTCATTTTTTTAATTATGCCTAGTTTTTAATCATCTGTTAAGGGATAATAATTCAGGTTTGCAAAATAAGTTATCAGTGCACAAAATGTGTTTTTTAATGTAAAAACACATAGCATTATCATCTAACTCAAATTGAACATTAATTGGAACACAATGAATATTTGGAGTATTCTTTAAATATTTCCCCCATCGCTAATATTTTTCCTGAAATTATGTGTTTTATGTTATGTTAATTTACAACCTCCAAGACAACACAAATACTATACCACATATTGAAGTATAGCTGCTCTTGCCAAAGACATTGATAGCCTCCTCGTCACAGAAACCATCTTCAATTATTCTCCATCTGAATTCCTTTGAACACTCACTTCTAGCACTTGCAGCTGCTGAGTCATTTCTTTCCCTCGTTAAAAAAAATGTATTGTGCACTTACTTTATGCCAAGCAGTGGCAATACAATAATTAATAATAATTTTTAAAAATAGTCTTTAAGGTCAACAGAATTTACAATCTAGTGGCAAAACAGAGTAGTTACCAGAGAATTATAGCGCAGAGTGTTAATGTAACAAAACAGTAAGAAAACAGTTGGAGCTCCAATCCCAGACTTTAGGGGTTTGGAAAGGCCCCCACAGGAGATAGCATTCCAATTGAGTCTGGAAGAATTAGTTAAGTTATCAAGGGAAGGGATCTGGGGAAAAGGAGCTGGGGAAAAGGAGGAAAAGAGAGGATTAGTATATATATAATCCCAGAAATAAAAAGAATAGATATTTGGGGAACTTCTAGTAGGTTAGGATAACTAGAGCTTAGAGTATCAGGGGCAAAGCAGTGAGAAAAGATAGAAGTCTGTGTATATTTATCAGGCAAAGGAGCTTGGAATTCATTTGGAGAGGAATGGAGACTCTTGAACCACTTTCAGCAGAGGGCCATGTGATCAATGTGACTGCCTTATAGAGAACTAATTAAAGAAGTCAAAATCAGAGGTAGAGGAAAAAGTGTGGAGGTCTTTGCAGGCATGAGATGATGGTGGCTTCAACTAGAGTGGTGGCAGTAGAGCACAAAGAGAAGTAGATGGCTGGATTTCACAGCTATTCAGGGTGCAGAAGCAAGAAGTTTTAGTGGTGTTTAGTGATCTGCTGGACATGAGTGGTAACAGAGAGGAAAGAGTAAAGGATGACCTTTGGCTTTGTTCATAGAAACCTCCATGTTCAAGCTGACTTGCCCAGAAGGCAGTTGGACATATAGGTCTGTAGTTCAGGAGAAAGAACTGATTCGGAAGGTAGGACTACTATGTTTTTTATTCTACCTCTCTGGTCATTGCTTTTCTGAACCTATTTGACACAAATATATAGATCATATTCACCATGATTCCATCCTCATACATAGTCTCTTTCACTCCACATACTCTGTCCCAGTGACAGAGTGTATGCACTCAGTTTTAACTACCAACAATGTCTTTGGGTTCCTCACAAAAGCATTGTATTTGGGAGATGACCCTGGAAAATACCAACAGAGGAATAGAAAAGTGAGATAGGGGAAGGAAAGTAGCCAATAAAGGGTGAATTTCCAAGAAAGTTACCACTGGGGTTAACTGGAGATAAAACCCACTGGGTAACATTGGGAAACTATGCAGAAGACCTGCCTCAGAGCTACCTAACTTTAGGAGTGAGAGAGCTTAGGG